TATATAAATGGCTTTGCAATATGTAAGTCATATAGCCTCCTCTGGTGGTAAACAGGTGCAAGCTTCTATGGAATAAAAAAAGGCGGGGGGGGGGGAGGAGGTTAAAAAAGCAGGTGTAGGACTTTATATTTCAAGGTGATATTACCAAGCCAGCTTTGACTTCTTTTTCAAGCAATGGTAAAGGGCTGGCACTGAATCATCCACCTTCTTGTGAATATTGGGTATCTTGAAACTTATGAATGGATTTAGTCTAAAGTTATTTTTCCCCCCTCTTCCTGTTAAAATGGAAGGGGTATCTCCTCTGCTTCTGCTCTGGGTCCCATTGCAGCTTGTTTAGAACCGTGGTGTGTACAATAAGCAACATTTGACTTACAGTAACTGTCCTAGTTATTATCTCACAAGACTTGTGTCATCATAGATACCAGTGCTTTCCATATTCCATTTTGTCATTCTCAGAGTGTTGGCAATGTCGTTCCTCATGGCCACAAGATAGCTGCAGCAGTACCAGGCATCATATGCACACAACCACATACAGCAAAGAAGGGTTGTGCTTTCTTCCATGTGTCTCTTTTTATTAGGAAAACTCCTCCTAGAAGTGCCACCCTCCCTTCCCATGAGGCCCTGCAAGGAAGGGGAGGTTAAAAAATAAGTGTCTGGCAGTTTCCCCTCTCAATGGGGAAACTCTGGCAGCAAGGGATAATGGGGGCGTGGAAAAAGAATGATTGTCAGGTGGGCTCTTAGCAGAAATTGCCATATACCTCATATTCCTTCCGATCTTCATAGAGCCCTCCCTCTTTCCTGTGTTTCCATAGCTCTTTTCTATCAGTACTGAATTGTGTACACATTTCTTCAATCATTTAAAAAGGCTGTTCTTTACCATTCCAAATACCTGTACCCCTTTCTTCCTTCCCTTCACACTTACTGACATCCCTTCCTTACTTCCCCCTTCTCTCTTCAACCCATTGCCATCTAACTTACACAGAGAATCCAAAGCCCCTCTTGCTAAGTTGATAATCACCTCTATGTTGCTAAAAACTATGGACATTTAAAGATCTTATCTAAATTGACCCAACAGTAGGATTCAACATAGCTGTTTTCACTCCCTTCTCAAAACTCTCTCTACCCTTGGTTTCTTTGGTATCACATTCTCCCATTTTCCTCCACACAGTCCCTCCCCCTCCAACCCCACCATTTTTCCTGGGTTTCCTTTATTGGTTTATACTTTTCTATACAACCCTGTAGATGTTAGAGGTTGAGACTTCAGTCATATACCCTTGTCTTCGCCTGACTTTGCATACTTCATAAGTGATAGCATCCTCCAGAGCCTCAATTGTCCCATGTAGAAAATCCCTACCTCTAGGTTTAAGAACTATTTTCTGAGCTCCAAACCTAGTATTTGCCTACTTAATATCTCCACTTTGTGTCTCCAGCACTCCAAAAACATGTCTAATTTTGAACTCATGTCTTCATACACTCCTCCCCCTCAACCCGCTCTTCCTTCAATGTTCTCCCTCTCAGTAAGACCTTCTATACAATTTCTCAAGACAGGAACCCAAGATTTTTTCTTGACTCCTCCTTCCTCAAATTCTGTATCTAATAAATCAACAAAACCGTTGGGTCTGCTTCCAAAATATCCAAAGTATCCACTTCTCCATTTCCCTTACACATGGACAGTAGCCTCTTAAACCAGTCTCTTCACATTCACCCATCCCACTTCCAGTCCAGTCCATTTAAACTGTAGCATAGTTAAATGTTAAAAACACAAGTCTTATATGTAACTCCTCTGTTTAAAATTCTTCAATGGCTTTCTGCAACTTTTAGAAAAATGTCTGCAATCTTTAACAGGACTTCCAAGGCCTTGTATGATCTAATTCTTGCCTTTCTTTCCAGCCTCATCTGCACCGCACTCCCCTTTCTATGTTTTAGCCACACTAGACATTTCAGTTCAAGTGCTGTTCTCACTGGCTTCAGAGCATTCACATTACTGCTTCCTCTACTTTGATTAGTCTTTTCCTTCACCTGGTTAGATTTTCCCTGACACGTCATTTCCTCAGGAAGGGCTTTCCTTACCCCTGCTATCCATGTTTGGTCATCACACATTTTTGGTCATCATCTCACATTTCTGAAGCACTTAGAATTTCCCCTTTGTGACATTCATCCTCACTTACAATCACTTGTTCAGTGTCTGCCTTCCTCTTTAGATTGTGCAGTCACAAAGGCAGGGCCCTGTCTGATTGCCTCACTGTATCCATGCCTGGTATGTATGTCTAGCTCATAGTAGATGAGCAATAAACATTTGATAAATGAATTAAAGGCTATGAATGATTCTTACATTAGAAATAAAGACATCACTCTACTGAAAGAATTTACAGATCAATTGAATTTTTTTTTAAGACTTTATTTATATATTTGACAGAGACACAGTGAGAGAGGGAACACAAGCAGGGGGAGTGGGAGAGGGAGAAGCAGGCTTCCCGCGGAGCAGGGTGCCCCATGTGCAGCTCGATCTGAGGACCCTGGGATCATGACCTGAGTCGAAAGCAGCGCTTAACGACTGAGCCACTCAGGCGCCTCTAGGTTAACTGAATTTTAAGAAATCCATTTAAAGTTGATATTGAAGAACAACTCTTAATTCTTCTTGAGAAATGATGTCCTATAGAAGCAGCATTATGTTTCCGTGTATAAGAACACTATATAAGAGGCCTGATTGGAAAAAAGTAAATACAATCAGAGTGCAATCTGTTAACTATTTTTAGGTAAAATATTTATAGGAAAGAGGTGTTTTCAGATGTAGCACCTTAATCCTGCAAAGATTGTCAAATGGTTGTACTGCTGAGAGGGCAATTCAATTGATGTAGAATGTGTAATATAATAACATATGCAACTTTAAAAAAGCCGTATAAGCCTTAGCTAATAGTTATTAGAGACTGTGTAATTCCAGAAAGTATTAAGTATAGACCAGTTTTCATGTTATTAAAAAAAATTTTTTTTAAAGATTTCATTTTTAAGTAATCTCTACACACAAGGTGGGGCTGGAACTCAGGAACCTAAGATCAAGAGTCACATGCTCCACCCACTGAGCCGGCCAGGAGCCCCGGGATGGCAACCGAGCACAAAAGGCCATATCTTGATTATAGAACATTCACATATAAAATTGTAAACAAAAGCATTATCTGTCCTCCTCCTTTGGATTACCATGGAGAATGAATGATTATTTTCTGCTTTTAAGTCACTTTAGAAAGCAGCTGTGGCACTAGCAGAGCCAGTGTTCTGAGGTTTTGGAAACGCCTAGGAGACTGCTGGAGGCTTGCATTTTACCAACACCTCCCCTCAGGTACACGGGCTGTACGGTATTACAGAGGTTGACGTTGCGGTTTTTACCCTTTCTCTTCAGGGTTGGGCTGCTAAGTTCAGCAGAAGTCGAAGCGCACTTAGTTCCATACAGAGAAACACCTACCCTATCACACAATGGCCACTAATCATAATAAAGAATTACATCGTCCACAATTAGGGTTTCACCCGGGGCGGGGACGACTTCCTCCATACTTAATGTCTCAGGGAGGCGGCGCAGAGCACCTCCTCGACAGTGAGCCCCGCGTCCTCTCCTCCCCTTTACAGATTGGAAAACGGCTTTCTCATTGCGGCCCCCTTCAGCTGTGCCCCGGAAACCACAGTTACGTTTTCCACATAGGAGGAAAAGAAGCCTAAGAAGACTACAATTCCCGTCATGCCTCATGAAGGCGTCGCCGACGCGCCGTAGCGGTTAGTCAGCTTTCCCACTGGCTCTTTTCACTTCCGGAACTGCAGGGTCTGAGGCCTAGCGGCCGCGCGCACACACCAACTTGCCAACGAGACAAGGCCCTGGGGCGCGGTGTCAACGGCGACGTGTGGCGTCACGGGACGCAGGGCGCTCCTGGTTCGCGCGCTTGCGCGCGTCCTAGGGGACTGCTGACGGGATTGCGTGCTTGCGCCGAGGCGGGGGGCAGACCAGCTGGGGCTGCGGGGGCCGCGGGGCCAGACGAAGGAGAGGGCGGGGCCAGCTTCGGGACCGCGGCGACAACACTCCGAGCGAGCGCCTGGGCCCGAGGAGAGCGATGTTGTGGTTCCAGGGCGCCATTCCGGCCGCCATCGCGTCGGCCAAGAGGAGCGGCGCGGTCTTCGTGGTATTCGTGGCAGGTGAAGGGGGCGGGGGCCCGAGTTGTGGCCGAACACCCCTCCGGCCTACCTCCAATCCTAGGATCCACCAGCCTTTCCTCCGTGCTCCGACAGGCCCAGGCTGCCGTCCCTGGCTTCTCAGCGCTTCCCCCTTCCGTTTGGGGCATGCCGAGCCTGCCTAGGCCCCCAGCTCGCGCTTCTCCCAGCACCCCGGCGGGAGGCACGGTCCCCGCCTCGCCCCCAAAGCTTGCTGAGCCCCGCCTACAGCTCTGGCGGGGCACGGGACAGCGTCCGGCAGGCCCTCGCCGCCCACCGCCGCTGAGCCCCCTAAGGAGTTGGCGCACTTAGACCCCAACAGCCCCCTCTCGGGGACCTCAGTAGATCTCTCTGTCCCCTAGGACCCACCTCGGGATGCTTAACGTTTGTGTAGCGTAAGTGTTTAGGTGGGGATAGAGACAGGCCATTCGACAGGGAGTTGGGTTCGTAATTAGTTGTGGACTGTCAGGAAGAAAGCTGTGTCATCGGTAAGCAACAAAGAAGCCACCTGATGTTGACGGCTACTAGCGGTCGTTACGTTCCTGAAACGCAAACTTTTGAGATTTATATAGGTTGGATTTTTTTTTTTTCAATTGTAATAGGGGGAGAGAGTCTAATGTGGAATATTTGCTTTGTACCGTTTGTTCAGAAGAAGACGTTCAGTCTTTGGTTCGTTTTGCTGTCTACCTAGTCTAATATCTACAGTTTCGAGAACCTGAGCTAACTCATTTATCCGTGTTACTCTGGTTTATTTTGCTCCGTCTTTTATTACCACCCTATTTTATCACAGAAATCATCTAGATTTATAGTAGACCTAAGCCTCTATGGTTTTGCTGTTCTCATTACATGAGCCAAATTAGTGTTTGTGACTTCTATTAATTTGAGGTGTATTATTTCAGCAATTTGTGCTTAATAACGGTGTACTCATTCACTTATGACTCTTGGGAGAGTAGATAACAGCTCTATAACTTTATGCACTGCAGTGAAGAAATGCTAAAATACGAGTTTCACTTAACATAAAATTTGAAATTTATAATTGTTTTTAAGTTATGCCAAATTTTTAGTTCAGTGTAGTTAATTAGAAAAGCAGTTTGATCCTCTTATGCTGCTTTAGAGTTGTATTTTACATACATAACTGCTATAATCTTGTAAGGAAAAAAAAGTGGGATAAAGGGATTACAAAAGAAAGGAGAATTAAATGATACTTAACTATGCTCATTAAGAGTATATTAATAGTTTTATGACATTTTAAGTTGTTTTTCACATAAAATTTTGGTTGATTCTTTGATAAGTAGAACAGGTATTATTATACCTATTTATAGATGAGGAAATTTATGTCCACAGTGGTTAAGTGACCTGCACCAGGATCACAAAAAGTATTTCCATCTTGTCTTGACAAATTTTTTTTTTTAGCAGCTTCAGGTGTGTTTTTTTGGTTTGGTTTGGTTTGGTTTGTTTGTTTCTTAAGAAAAACCAAGAACTGTAGACTTCATGTATTAATGAAATTGGTGTAGAAGTCAGGAAATCTAGGATTATGGTAGTCATTTAAAAAAAATTTATTTATTTTAGGGGGGAAGGGCAGAGGGAGAGGGAGGGAATCCTCAGGTAGACTCCCAGCTGAGTGGGGAGCCCAATGCTGGGCTTGATCCCAGGACCCTGAGATCCTGATCTGAGCCGAAATCAAGAGTCAGACACTTAACCGATTGAACCATCCAGGCTCCCTGATGGTAGTCATTTTTTTTTTTTTTTTAAAGATTTTATTTATTTATTTGACAGAGGGAGACACAGCGAGAGAGGGAACACAAGCAGGGGAGTGGGAGAGGGAGAAGCAGGCTTCCTGCGGAGCAGGGAGCCCGATGCGGGGCTCGATCCCAGGACCCTGGGATCATGACCTGAGCCGAAGGCAGACGCTTAACGACTGAGCCACCCAGGCGCCCATGGTAGTCATTTTTTAAACAAAAAACACAACTGATGGTGTCTAAATGGTCCTAGAAGATCTTTTTGGGCTAAATAGTTAATTTGAAATAAGAAATTCTAGAACAAACATAGGAAACAGTAGTGGTAGTTATTACTATAGCAAAATAAAGTTAGAGGTCTTTGGGACTCTGTGTGTGTGTGTATACATTCTTCAGTTAACTTTTTACTGATGAGTACATATTATGTTTGTAGAGTATCAGTGAATGTTTGTTGAATGTTTGTAGCAACACTGTTAGCAATCTGTCAAAGGAGTTTGTCCCTTGACCTGTTCAAAATACTGTTGGCTTTCCTAGAGTTTTTAGGAAGTTAATCTCCAACACTAGGTAGGATTAGTTTCACTCCAGGAATATGTAGATATTGGGGTCTTGAAACTGCAACACATATTGCCTAGACCTTTGTTCATAGCCAGAATTAATGATTTTCTTAGATGGGATACCTTTACAATAATAAACCAACTCAGTAGAAAATTAAAAAGATACCTTAAAGGCTGGAAGAAGTGGTCTTAAGGGTATACTTTGTTTCATATAACCCCTCATTTGGGAAGCACTTCACACAAGTTGATTTCATGGATGAATTAAAGAAAATTGTAGAATTAAAACTGGAGAGATTACTACTAGTTCAGAGAAGAACTTAGCAAGTATTTTCAAGGTATTATGTCTTTGTAAATTGAAAGAAATAAAACTGAAGATTTTGATTCTGTTCTTGGGAAGGCAGAATATTCTGACAAGGATCCTGAAGCAAAGGTGTCAGTTCACAGACTAGTGTTGCTAGTGGGCTAAACTTTTCATGACAGACACTATTTACTGCCCTTTTAGGTTCAAAAAGACCACAAAAGCTTTTAGATTTTGACTAGTTGACATTTTCTGGATTGGAATTCCTGGCTGTACTAAGATCTGCAACTCTTTGCTTCTGAGTTTGTATTGTTCTTTTGTTTGTTTGTTTTTAAGATTTTATTTTTTTAAAAATCTCTACACCCCATGTGAGGCTCGAACTCACAACCCTGAGATCAAGAGTCACATGCTCTACCTACTGAGCTAGCCAGGTGTCCTTGTATTGTTCTTTTTAAGTGTCTTTACTTTGGGTATTGCTGATACTACCAAAGATACAACATTTTCTACTAAAATTTTAGGCTGACCTAACTCCATAGCATAGTTCATATACCGATTAATAAGAAACTAAAGATACTGAAGTCAGCAGTTAATAATCTTACTCTGTAGAATTAAGGTAGGTCGCAGTGAGTTAAGTAATTCCATTCAACCTTATGTCTCTTGTTAGTCAAGAGGTGTTGCTGCCACTAGGCTGAGCTATGGACAGACACTGCTAACGGGGATGTGATATTTGGGACCCTCCCCACATGGTACAACATAGTAAGAAGTACCAACCTCAGAAATAGGAGATCCATACTTCTAGCTACCCAGTCGTCATCCCCACTTAGATGCCTCACAGGATTCTCAAGTATAAAAGTATGTTTACTGCCTGAACTTGTGTTTCTCCCCATCAGTGTTGTACATTTAGTATATGGCACGACTTTTACATTCAGGTGGATAAACCGTAGTGTGGGAGTCATCTTTGAATCTCAACTCTTTAGTCTCCTCTTGTCTCGTGTTCCCTGTTGTTTATGACATTCCCAGTCACACGGGCCTTTTCCTACACGTAAAATCCTTCTTAGTGAACTGTTCAGACTCTTGGCCCAGCTCAGCCTTTTCATCCTTTATGTCTTCCCTTAAATGCCACCCCAGAGAAGGCTTCCCTGACTGATCTAAAAAGGTCTCGTTATTTTCTTAGATCTGTTCTTTTTTTTCACCGTATTTATTACTATAATTATTTATAATTGTTTACTAAACAAGTACATTTTTTGTACCATTAGATTTTTAAACTCCACGGAGGGCAGGCAGTGTCTCATTTGTTTCACATTTAGCTTATAGTTTTCCTCATTTGCTTCCTCAACATCTGGGAGTCTGCTAATGGGCATTCTTTTTGGTCCTGGTCTGTGGATGCGTTCTACTCCCTATTTACTTTTCCATGGCCAGATTTGTCAAGCTCCTATTCCTGGATCATCTCACATAGAATATATTCAAATATGCAGCATTAGGGGCACCTGGGTGGCTCAGTCGTTAAGCGTCTGCCTTCGGCTCAGGTCATGATCCCAGGGTCCTGGGATCGAGCCCCGCATCAGGCTCCCTGCTCCGCGGGAAGCCTGCTTCTCCCTCTCCCACTCCCCCTGCTTGTGTTCCCTCTCTCGCTGTGTCTCTCTCTGTCAAATAAATAAAATCTTTAAAAAATATGTATATATATGCAGCATTAGTCAATTATTGTAGGTATGCCAAGATACTTACTATACCAGAAATTTAGCTGTTCATTCCGCAAAATACTTATTGAGGGCTTGCTATATGCCAGGTACTTACCATATGCCAGCTTATATCGTAGGCATTTGAGTTATATTAGTAAATAAAAAAGAAAACAGTCCTTGCTTTCATGGAGCCTGCTTTCTAGTTGAGGGAGACAGTAAATATAGTAAGTAAAACACATGGTTTATTAGAAGATCCTAAGTATTACAGGGGGAACAAAAGACCAGGAGATTAGGGAACTTTGGGAATGTCTGAAGGCTGTCATTTTGTTCTTTATTTATATATATTTGTATATATGGGACTTGTGGGACTTGAGCTCATGACCCTGAGATCAAGAGTCGCATGCTCTACTGACTGAGCCAGCTAGCTGCCCCTAAAGGCTGTCATTTTAAAGTAGTGTGCAGTAGGGAAGGCTTTATTGAGAAGGTAATATTTGACCAAGAACTTAAAGGAGTTGAGTGTTAACCATCTAAATATCTGAGGAAAGAACATTCCAGGCAGAGGAAACAACTAGTACAAAGACCTTAAAGTAAGAGTGTTTTTGTATTAGCTGAATCAGAATAAGGTAAAGAGAAATGAGGTCAGAGGTAACTGGAGGTATGAGACCATTTGTAGGGAGTTTGACTTTTAATGTGAGGGAAATTGGGAGCCATTGTAGGATTTTGAGCAGAGGACTGATGTGGTAAGACTCTTTAAGGAAAGTTGCCGTGTTAAGAACAGACTGAGAAGCTTTGCCACATCTACTGCAGCCAGCAGTCAGACTGTTGGCATTCCAGAAAATGTCGACATCACTGTGAAGGGATGCATAGTTATTGTGAAAGGCCCCAGAGGAACCCTGTGAAGGGACTTCAGTCACATCAGTATAGAACTCCATCTCCTTGGAAGGAGAAAGAAGAGGCTCTGAGATGACAAATGGTGGGGAAATAGAAAAGAATTGGCTACTATTCCCATTACCTGTAGTCATGTACAGTATATGATCTGGGGGAGGGGGTGCTCCTGACTGGCTCAGTCGGTAGAGCATGTGATTCTTAACGTGGGGTCGTGAGTTTGAGCCCCACGATGGATGTAGAGATTACTTTTTTTTTTTAAGATTTTATTTATTTGACAGAGAGAGACACAGTGAGAGAAGGAACACAAGCAGGGGGAGTGGGAGAGGGAGAAGCAGGCTTCCCGCGGAGCAGGGAGCCCGATGTGGGGCTCGATCCCAGGACCCTGGGATCATGACCTGAGCCGAAGGCAGACGCTTAACAACTGGGCCAACCAGGCTCCCCTGGTATATAGATTACTTTTAAAAAAAAAGAAAAAAGAACACGATCAAGGGGGCTACACTGGGCTTCCCTTACAAGATGAGGTCTTTGTATGGTCACTTCCCCATAAATATTGTTATTCAGTAGAATGGTTCTCTTGTTGAAATCTGGAATTTCTTGGTTGAAAAGCACATCTGTGGGGTTTGGATGAGGCCAAGTATTGTTTGTTCAGTGTCTCAAGTCCAGAAAGGTGAGTTAATTTTGAAGGAAATGACATTGGGCTTGTATCAAACTCAGCTGCTTTGATTTAGCAAGCCACAACAGTTAAAAACAAGGATATCAGTAAATTTTTGGATGGTATCTATGTTTCTGAAAAAGGCAGAGTTCAGCAGGCTAATGAATAAGATCTAAGTTGTCCAGCTACAGCAACAGCAAGATGCTAGATGACTTTTCAGACTTATTTGTGGTATTTTAAAAGATGCAGTAAAAGCTATATTGATTGGCGTGGGGTTGGGGGCTAGATTTGGAAGGGAGACCAGATAGGAGGCTATTGTAATCATCTAGGTGAGATGTGGTAGATTAAATCAGGGTGGTAGCAGTGAAAGTGGTAAGAAATAGTTACATTCTGGATATATTTTGGAGATAGAGTCCGCTGAAGTCAAGGATAATTAGTTTTTAGCCTAAAAACTGAAAGGATGGAGTTACCTTAAACAGGTAACTGAGATGAGGAAGGCTGAGGGTGGATTAAATAGGGGAAAGGGGCTACACATGAGAAGAAAACAGCTTATGGAAGAATAGATACAGAATTATCTCATTTTTGGTAAACAAAAATGTGACCTGAGAACTTTTTTAATCTTTAAATTGGCAGAGGTTGTTTACTTTTGAGAAAGCACTTAGCTCTGCTAAACATCAGAAGTATTTTTCATTGACTTACTTGGGTAAGTTTCCTTCTGCCCACCAGTAAGTGGTTATGTCAAAGTCTAGACATTACAAGTCTAAAAAGGAAGTAATATATGATAGATATAACTTTTAAAACATTTTGTTATTGAAGTATGACATACAGTATATTAAGTGAAATATATTCAGTGAGCAGCTCAGTGAATTTTTATATATTAACACACTCGTGTAACTCTCATCCAGATAAGATATAAATATTTCCAGCACCCCCAGAAGGCTCCTTCATGCTCTTTCCCAATCAGTAGCACCTCCACCCAGGTAACTGCTATGCTGAATTCTATCACCATAGATAACTTTTGGATCAGCATAACTTTTTTGTTTTTAATAAAGATTTTATTTATTTATTTGACAGAGCGCACAAGCAGGCAGAGAGGCAGGCAGAGGGAGAGGGAGAGGCAGGCAGAGGGAGAGGGAGAAGCAGGCTCTCCGCTGAGCAGGGAGCCTGATGCGAGGCTCGAACCCAGGACCTTGGGATCACAACCTGAGTTGAAGGCAGCCGCTTAACCGACTGAGCCACCCAGGCGCTCCAGCATAACTTTTGTTTTTTTTTTAGATTTATTTATTTTAGAGAGCACGTGTGCACGCATGTGAGCAGGGGGAGGGACAGAGGGAAAGGAAGAGAGAAGCAGACTCCTGCTGAGTGTGGAGCCCATCTCAGGTCTCGATCTCAAGACCCTGAGATCATGACCCGAGCCGAAATCAAGAGTGGACATTTAACCACCTGAGTCACCCAGGTGCCCCTGGATCAGCATATCTTTTAAAATTAGCATACCTATAATAAAAGGCAAGTCCAAAACTGCAATCAGAATTGCACTTGCTTCTGTCTACCTTGGAGGAATTCTGGGGAGTGATGGTGTGGTGTGGGAACATTGAGCTCGACAGAAAAGTGCTACATAAAGGAAGAATATTGTGCATTTATTTTCTAAAATCACACGTACAAAAGCCAAAATAGCTGCTGTACATTTCTACTATGACTTCCAATTACTGTGATACCATTTGCTTCATAATTTGGATGTCTTTTTTTAGAAAATACTTTGTAAAATCGAGATACCTTCATTCTTTTTCATTACATCGTCATTATTTATTTATTTATTTTTAGTTGTCTGAGCTGTTTTCATTACTTTTTGTAATGTTAACAGTGCATTATCATGCTTTTCATTTTATGGGAAAATTTTAGTTTTCAAACTTGGTAGAAAATACCAATTGTAGTATTTGTGGAATTATATTTTATTTGAAATTCCATATTCTAAGGGAAAAGAATCTGCAGATATTGGCTTATAAGTATCCTTGAAATGTTTTACAGGTGATGATGAGCAGTCTACACAGATGGCTGCAAGTTGGGAAGATGAGAAAGTGACAGAAGCATCTTCAGACAGTTTTGTTGCTATTAAAATCGATACCAAAAGGTTTGCTTATATGTGTTAATTTTTTAAATATTATAACCATTGTCTTTTGTTGAGATTTATGGTGATACTCTTAGATTATAAGAATGTTGATTTTTCTCTAGGGCATGTTGGGGACTTAAATTCTGATTGCCATTTTCCAAATACATCATGATATCTTGCTGAAAAACTTTTAAGTTCTGCTGGTCCACCAAGCAGCAATGTGACATGTACCAGGAATGCAAAAGAATGTGATCCTTAGCTTCTAAGAACTTGGAAGTAACTGTAAATTATAAATTATATATCGATTATCTCTGGAAGTTGACCACTGTTTTGGATCCTATTTTGGGAATGAAGCTGTTTAATTCAGTAGGAGTAAGGACTTTTTTAGGTCCTCACAGTACTTGATATCCACAAGTCTCTTTTATTTTTTTTTTTTTTTTTTTTTAAGATTTTTTATTTATTTATTTGAGACAGAGAGAATGAGATACAGAGAGCATGAGAGGGAGGAGGATCAGAGGGAGAAGCAGACTCCCTGCCGAGCAGGGAGCCTGATGCGGGACTCAATCCCGGGACTCCAGGATCATGACCTGAGCCGAAGGCAGTCGCTTAACCAACTGAGCCACCCAGGCGTCCATCTCTTTTGTTTGTTAATCCATTCCTTCTCCTCCCCCCTTAAAAATGTTTTTTTATTGTAGAAAATTTCAAACATATACACAAGTAAGTGAAAGTGTAATGAACTCCCATGTACTTGTCAACTACTTCGGTAATTATCAACTTATAGTCCGTCTTGTTTGAGCTATACCCCGACCCATTTCCACTCATCCCGTATACTTTTGTGGCAAATCTCAGTCATCATGTCATCAATGAATGTTTTAGTATGTCTCTAAAAAATATATTTTTTAACATTAATTAACCTAAATTTAATATATGAAAAACTAAATTTTTAACATAACTGTAATACTTCAAAAACAAATTAATAGAAGTTTCTTAATAGCAAATACCCAGCTACTGTTCATATTTTCAGTTGTCTTATCTATGTCATAGTTGTATTCTTAATTTATTATAATTTGTTTGGTTGAGGATCCATCATGGTCCACACACTGTGATGTGTTGATCTCTCAAGTCTCCTTTAGTCTGTAGACTCCCCCCTCCCCCCTTTTTTTTCTTTGCAGTTAATATTTTGGAGAAACTAGGTCATTTGTTCTTTAGTTTCCTACAGTATGGATTTTGTTGACTGCATCCCTGTTAGTGTTATCTAATATGTTCCTCTGTCCTCTATTTCCTGTAAATTGACAGTTGGATTCAGGTTAGATTTTTTTTTTCCATCAAGACTAGATTTCCATCATAATAGTGGTAATGTCTTCCATTCTTCCATTAGAAGGCACATAATGACCTGTTGTCTTACTTTATGATGTTAGCAGCAGGCATCAATGATCAGTCCTAGAAGCATTAATTCATTAGCAACTATAAAATGGCATTTTTGTCCTTTTGATACTGATAATATCAGAATGAATGAGTGGTGGTTGAAAGTTACTGTCAAGATTAAAATATTTAGCAATTTACCTGTAAGTTTGTAGGTTTGTTGTTTTTTTTTTAATTTTATTTATTTAAGTAATGTCTACACCCAACGTGGGGCTCAGACTCATGACCCTGAGATCAAGAGTCACATGCTCTTCTGACTGAGCCATCTAGGTGCCCCAGTTTGTAAATTTTTTACTAAAAATTTTTCAATATTAAAAATGTCATAAAACAAATCATAGTGGTTTGCCTCACAGCAGGAGTTATTGAACTATATATTTATTGAGCTATAATCCTTAAAAAAAAAAGAATCTTACCATTTTAATGTATATCCTATCATTTATATTGTCCATTATTTCCAGAAGTACCAGTAATGGCAGGAGGAGTGTAGGGGTGTATTGGAAATGTGGAAGAGATGAGAATATCAGAATTCTTGAGGTTATATACAGACTGATGTATCTAGCAGTTTTTTTTTATTGAGAAAGAGAGAGGGGGGAGAGGGGGAGGGGCAGAAGGAGAGGGAGAGAGAGAATCTTAAGTAGGCTTCATGCCCAGTGAGGAGCCCACTGCAGGGCTTGATCTCACATCCCTGAGATCATGACCTGAGCCAAAATCAAGAGTTGGACGCTTAACCAACTGAGTCACCCAGGAGCCCTGTATCTAGCATTTTTTTTTTTTTAAAGATTTTATTTATTTATTTGAGACAGAGAGAATGAGAAAGAGAGAGCACATGAGAGGGGGGAGGGTCAGAGGCAGAAGCAGGCTCCCTGCCGAGCAGGGAGCCCGATGCGGGACTCGATCCAGGGACTCCAGGATCATGACCTGAGCCGAAGGCAGTCGCTTAACCAACTGAGCCACCCAGGCGCCCTGTATCTAGCATTTTTAAAAACAAATTTTATTTTTTTCTTTTTTAAAAACAAATTTCTAAAAGCAGTTGCAGGGATACCTGTGTATAGGATGGTTGCTGTTTGTTTCATTATGGACTGCCTGCTGATAGAATCTAATGTGTCTTAAATGATGAAAGTAAATTTTATATATTATGTAATTATGAAATTATCTAATGTTTTAGTAACATTCTAGTGTGTATTTATTTATAGAGATAGCCTGTGTTGAAAATAGACTGGTAGGAAATACATCAGAAGTTTACATTGGTGGGGCACCTGCCTCAGTGGCTCAGTGGGTTAAGGGTCCCACTCTTGATTTCGGCTCAGATCATGATCTCAGGGTCCTGGGATACAGCCCTGTGTTGGGCTCTGTGCTCAGCAGGGAGTCTACTTGAAGATTCTCTCTCTCCTCTCCTGTTGCCCCTCCCTCCCCCAAAACAAATAAATCTTTAAAAAAAGTTTACTTTGGTTAGTTTTGGGAAGGTAGGACTCTTTGTAATTTTTTTCTTTATACTTTCCCATTCTATTTTCAGATGTTTTTATGATCATGGTTTATATTCAGAAAATGAAACAAATTTCTAATTCTTGGAAACAGTAATTTGATTCTTGGTATTATTGACCCACAGTGATTAGTATCTCTTACTTGTATCATAATGTAAAGTCCCACCTATCCCTGTCCCTAACCACCCAGTTCCCTTCTCTGCAGTAACCAAATCTATTTTCCTCCCCTTTCTTACATTCTTGTTTATTTTCCTCCCCTTTTTTACAAAAGTGGTAGCATTTTGATACACTTTTTTGTATCTTTTTAATGATTGCTTAGTTTTTACTGGTGGATATTTAGGTTGTTTTGAATCATTTCTTACTACAAAGTACTGTATTATCTTTTGCACAAGTAAGTTATAAGCATTAATAGCCTCTTGTTACAAGTTAAGATATTGTATTGAGGTATACTTGCTGCTGAGGAAGCAACATGGCAGATACCTGCTTGATTTTTAGTCCCCAGATCCAGCCACGAGTTTGTGGGTTGCAAGAGCAAGTAGCTCTTTAATCCGAAAATTATAAAACAAACCAGAAAAGGTCTCTAAAATAAGAATTGCACTTTTCTCCTCCCACCTGATGACTGTGAAAGGAACTAGTACTTTCAGAAAAATCATTTTAATTGGTTCAGCACATTTTTATAAAAACAACGGAGTATTTGGAAAAGGCATGCATCTAGTGATTTTCTGTTTGATTTTGTTTTACAGTGAAGCCTGCCTACAATTTTCACAAATCTGTATCCTTTCAATAAAGAATTGGTTTGATACATATTTTGCTTGAGGATTTGCCTTTCTTTTGGTTAATTCATGACATTTTGAAATTATTCATTTTTATTTAGGAACTCTTGCATTCTTGTTTATTGAAAATTTATGTTACTAAGTGTCCTTTGAGATAATACATTGTAGCAAAGGGGATCATAGAGAGTTTTTTTATTGTCAATATCTGGAAAGCAGTATAGAGCAGTTTGGTTGGAATGTTAAGGGGCAAGATAGATGTAAAAGTGACAATAGAGGGGAATGTAGTGGATGTTCTCCACTCAGTTATACAATACAAATAAAACATAAATCAGTTTATCTATCACATGCATGACAAGCATAATGATAAGGTAGTTGAAATTATTTGGTAAACATGTTAGCTGATAACATTGTGAAATTAACAAAGATTTGTTCTTTTTTATCAGTAATATTTCATAAAATTATGCCCTTGTTCTTCATGAATCGTTAGACTTAATTAAATTGTACAGATCCCGTAGTGTGTGTTCCATCCAGTTTCTTTATTGGAGACAGTGGAATTCCCTTGGAAGTAATAGCAGGAAGTGTTTCTGCAGATGAACTTGTTACCAGAATTCACAAAGTCCGGCAGGTGAGAAGGAACAGAATTTCTTTATTATAAACATGGGAAAATGGTATGTCAGAAACTTGACATTGGAATATTTTTGGTACTGCTCTGTATAATCAGGAACCTGCCATGCCATTAAACTTTTAAAAGGTAGTAAATACTATTTTCCTGGATTGGTTTTGAAAATAGCATTGTGAAGTTGTAAGTACCTGAACCTAATGAGTGACTTCTTACTCTCCCTTCTTTCCTCCCTCACGTAACTACTAATACACATCACTATTCCTTTGTTGCGAGAGAGAGGTTGCACATTAAGTTCCCAAACTGTATTGCTTGACACATTTTAAGGAATTTAGTCAATTTCTCATTCGTGTCCTCTTTGGGCAAATGGCTAAGATAGCTTCAAACTTTTTTCCTAGAATTCTAATTTGAAGGAAAATCATTGTGCTTTGAAAATCTTTTTATGTTCTTGTCACATTGTAGTTGAATTCCATAGTGTGATTATACCATGTGTAGGATTACACAGTTTAGATTCATGTACTTAGAAGGTTTAGTACTTTTCCCTCCTGTAGAGACAATTGACTTATATTTTGGCCTCATCTGCCAGGTAGGTTTAGATTCTTACCTGTTCATTAAATTCCAATGTGTTTTCTCCCTAGATGCACTCATTAAAAGGTGAAACATTGGTGGCAAATGGCAGCCAGTCAGAAAGTTCAGTCTCTACTCCACCCACCTCATGTGAACCTAACAACACTTCTGAAAACTCTCAGTCCAGAAATGTGGAGCTTTGTGAGACACCACCCACTTCTGATAGAAAGTCAGATTCTGCAACAGGTAATTTTTAGTGTACCCTTTTGGGTATAGGTAGAAGTACACCATCACTTTGTTTTAAAGGCCAGGGATTAATATCCTTAAAAATAGCATGTTTCTCAACTCTGTCATACTCATTTAACTTAAAATTTAAAGGTTGTCTTAAATACAGGCGTTGGTCATATAGTGGCAGAAGAGAATAAAGTCAGTGAATATGCTTTTCAAATCCAAATAGGCAACAGTCCAGAATAGTTGATTTGTAATTTCTTTTACTGTGCTGTAGTTCAGGGACTGTCATTATGACACTTAACAATTTTATATATATCTTTCCAGCCAGAGGATCTTGAAAGGTCCAAATGAACTAATGTATTTGGAATTGTTTTTATAACCTGTAAGATACCATACACATTTAAAAAATAGTATTTGCATTTTTAGAAATTAGAATTAAAAGATAAAATTGTGGAAATAAAAGATGTGACTGCAGAGGGGTTGATAGAAAAGGCAAAAGAGAAAATTTATATATTAGGGATTGTGTTCAGAGTTGCTTGGTGTAATATATCTTTGTATTGGGCAACATAGAGTTAGATAAATCAAGAAGTTAGTAGATTAGCATCCTAAAAGATAATCCTACTCTAGCATCCCAGATAGATAATTATCAAACCTCTATTTACTGACAGGAAGCTCATTACCTTGCAAGAAAGCCCACTGTCAAAGTCCTAGTTTTTAGAAAAATTCTTCTTTATATTGAGATGAAATTTGATGCCCTGTAATTTCTCATTAACTTTAGTGCTACTTAAGAAGTTACACGTAACAGGTTTTGAATATTTGAAGAATAGCTGTCATGTCCCCTCTCAGTAGTCTCATTTTGAGGTTTACATCTGCAGATCATTCAAATTCTGGATGCATACAGAACGAGGGGATGCTATAGTGAATGTAGCCCATTTAACTGTACAGCAGGATACTTAATCTTTTACGTTTACCTGGATATTTATCATTGCCAAATTCTTCATTCCCTTTTGAGTATGTTTTCCTCTGGTATCATTTTCTTTCAGCGTGAAAATTTTCCCTTAGCATTTCTTTTCTTTCTTTTTTTTTTTTTTTTAAGATTTATTTATGTATTTGAGAGAGAGAAGGCATGCGCAAGGGGAGGGAGGGGGAGGAGGGGAGAATTTTCAAGCAGACTCCCTGCTGAGCAAGGAGCCCAGTGCAGGGCTGTATCTCATGACCCATGAGAATTTGACCTGAGCTGAAACCAAGAGTCGGACATATAACTGACTTAGCCACCCAGGTGCCCCTTGCTTAGTATTTCTGATTATACAGGTCTTTCGGTGAAATACTTCTCTTTGTCTCTGAAAAATGATTTTATCTTCATTCTAGAGGGGTATTTTTACCGGATACAAGATTGGGGGTTTACAGTTATTTTTTTCAACCCTTTAAGGATCTTCTGGTCTCCATAGTTTTCTGATGAGAACTTTCTGTTGGTAGCAGTGTTTCCCCATATATGGAATATATTGCTTTTCTCTCTGCTTTCAGGATTTTCTCTTTCTTTGGTTTTCAGCAGTTTGACCATATTATGCTTAGATGGGCTTTTCTTTGTGTTTATCCTGCTTGGGGTTTGCTGAGCTTCTTAAATCTGAAAATGTATGACTTTTACTAAATTTGGGGAATTTGGAGCCATTATTTATTTAACTATTTTTCTCTTAGCTTGCTAGAAATAATTACATGTATGCTAGGCTTCTTTGATATTATCCCACAGGTTCACTTTTTCTTTTTTTCCTCTTCTTTAGATTGGATAATCTTGTTCATCTATAAGTTCACTGACTTTTCTTTATCATCTCTTTCTGCTCTGCTCTTAAGCCCATCTAGTGAATTGTTATTTTATTTTTATTCTAAGATTTTTTTTTTTAAGATTTTATTTATTTATTTGACAGAGAGAGACACAGCGAAAGAGGGAACACAAGCGGGGAGCGGGAGAGGGAGAAGCAGGCTTTCCGCTGAGCAGGGAGCCCGATGTGGGGCTCGATCCCAGGACCCTGGGATCATGACCTAAGCTGAAGGCAGACACTTAACGACTGAGCCACCCAGGCACCCCTAAGATTTTTATTTTTAAGTAATCTCTTTGTCCAATGTGGGACTCAGACTTAAAACCCTGAGATCAAGAGTCATATTCTCTACTAACTGAGTTAGCCAGGTGCCCCTAGTGGATTTTTATTTTAGATAAAATTTGGTAACATATTTATACTTTTTTTAAGTTGACCTTTTCTTAATAGACTTTTTTTTTTTTTACTTTTAAGTTCTGAGAAGTATTTATTAAGTGCCACATTGTCTTTATAAGCTGATTGACAGCTTTTAAAGTTTTTCCATTATATATTTTTGCAACAAAAGTAAAATGTTCGTCTTGACAAATGAGAAGTTCCGATGAAGCAAAAATTAAAAACAAACCAGAACACCTGTTACCTCAGATAGCCACTGTTAAGCCATTTAAGTATATACTTTAAGTTTTTTCTTTGCATATTAATATAAAATATACATTTTTTACAAAAATGGGATACAACATATACTTTTTGAAAATTTTCTTTCACTTCACGATATATAATGTACATCTTTTCATGCAAATGGGTGAGACCCATGATTGGAAAAGGGAAACTTCCAGCTTGTGGGTGGGGAAAACCCAATTTTATGCCAGTTACAAGTGAAACACCTAGAATAAAACCACGCGAAAAGTTATGATTGAGATGGGGAAAGGTATATGAGAAGATACAACCTTCAGGTGGCAATACTTATATCAGGCAAAACAGAATTAAAGGCCGAACACATTAAATAGGATGAGGACGATTCCGTCTCGCCTTCCAGTGCATAACCATCAATTTGTTGTGTACTCTTTTCATTTCTTCCATCTCCTCTGCTACCTTTATCATCTCCTCATTGCTTAAATTTCTGCCGTGTATGTCCCCTCTAAATTGCGGGCGAGAGCGAGCTAGCCTCTCTTTAAAGCTTCCTTCTTGTAGCTTATGTTTTCCCACTCCACAAGGAGGCTGCTCCATGGGAGGGCGCTCTTCAAAAAGGTCCCTTCCAGAAAGGTGCTCCTGAGGAGGGTGCTCCTCGGATACCAGCATCTCGGGAAGGAGCTCCTCGGGAAAGAACTCCTCCTCTGAGGACTGCTCCTTGGAAGATGGTTCCTCTGGAGACTGCTTTTTGGGAGAGTGCTCCACAGGAGGCTGCTCCTCATCCATCTTGGGTGCACCCTGTGGCTGTTCTTCATTTTCTTTGCAGGATTTTTCCGTGTTCAGGACGGTCTGGACCTCTCCTGGCGGTTTGCTCTAGGAGTCCTCGAGGCGCACTGCTGTGACCTGCAGATCTGCAGACTTCCTTCTCCTCTTCCCCTCGACCAAAGGGCAGGAGGCAGACGGTGTCTGGACAGGCAAAAAGGACCAGGAGAGAGGGACTCGGGCAGACATAGGCTCCTGGTCACGTGAGGGCTGCCCGTCACCGCCAAGCTCAGATCCTGTTACCTTCTTAATAGAGTTTTAAAATATTTTTTATTTTTATTTTTATTAGAGAGAGAACTCGTACAAGTGGGGGAGGAGAAGGAGAGAGAGAATATTAAGCAGGCTCCATGCTCAGTGCAGAGCCCAATGTGGGGCTCGATCTCATGACCCTGAGATCATGACCTGAGCCGAAATCAAGAATCAGTCACTTAACCGACTGAGCCACCCTATAGACTTTTTTTTAGAGCAGTTCTAGGTTTACAACAAAATTAAGAGGAAGGTACAGATTTCCTATATACCTTCTGCCCCACTATCTACATTTTTCACGGAAGTGGTACATTTGTTACAACTAATGAATCCACATTTGACACCATTGTAATCAGGCAGAGTCCATAGTTTACATTAGAGTTTTCTCTTGGTGTTCTACATTCTATGAGTTTGGACAAATGTATAATATAGAACAAAGTATTTTTACTGCCCTGAAGGTCCTCTGTGCTCTCCCTGTTCATCCTTACTGATCTTTAGTTTTGCCTTTTCCAAAATGTCATATAGTAGTGTTTTCAAATTGGCTTCTTTCACTTAGTAATATGCATTTAAGCTTCCCTCGTGTCTTTTCATCACTTGATAGCTCATTTCTTTTTAGAGCTGAATAATATTCCATTATCTAGATGTACCACAGTTTATTAATCCATTCACCTACTGAAGGGACATCTTGGTTTCTTCCAAGTTTTAGCAATTATGAATAAAGCTGCTGTAAGCATCTGTGTGCAGGTTTCTGTGTGAATATAAGTTTTTTTACTTTCTTTGGGTAAATACCAAGGTCATGATTGCTGGATTGTGTGCTAAGAATATGTTTAGTTTTGTAAGAAGCCATCAAGCTGTCTTCCAAAGTGGCTGTACCATTTTGCAGGTAAAATGATTCTAGATTTTCTTATTCTTCCTTCCATCTCTTCCTCCTCTTTTAACTTTTTATTTTGAAATAGTTTGACTTACAGAAAGTTACAGTAGTTATACTTGGTCCCTGAGTACCATTTACCAACATTTTATTCAATTTATCTTTTAATTCATTTCATTTTTCTTTACCTCATTGAGTTATAATGGCTCTAGCTCATCTCAGGATTGCCGTTTTTTTTGTCTTTTCCCCTGATAATGAGTCACATTTTCCTTTTGGATCTTGTGTCAAGAAATTTTGGATTGTATCTTGTACATTGTTGTAGACACTGTGGATTCTGTTATATTCCTACAAACCGTGTTGATGCTTTTGTTTCAGTAGGCACTTAACTTTAACTCAAACTCTGCCTTACCTGAAGTGTGAGTAGAAGCTCTAATCTCAGTTCTTTGTAGCTTTTTTTTTCTTACTTCGTTATGGAAAATTTCAGACTTCTAGAAAAGTAGAGAAAACAGTGTAAGAAATCCCATGAACTCACTGCCTGTCTTCAACTCCTGCCTACTCATGGCTGGTATTGTTTCATTGGAGCTCCCTACTCCTCTTCTCCTTCTCACTTATTATTTAGAACAAATCTCAGGCATTATATCATTTCATTTTTAAAATATTAGTATGTAAAAGATGAGAACTTTATCTATCTATCTATCTGTCTATCTATCATCTATAGTAGGCTCCATGCCCAGTGTGAAGCCCAGCTTGGGGCTTGAACTCATGACCCTGAGATCAAGACCTGAGCTGAGATCAAGAGTCAGTCACTTAACTGACTGAGCCATGCAGGCGCCCCTAAAAGATGAGAACTTTAAAAAAATAACCACAGGGCACCTGGGTGGCTCAGTCGTTAAGTGTCTGCCTTCGGCTCAGGTCATGATCCCAGGGTTCTGGGATCGAGCCCCGCATCGGGCTCCCTGCTCTGTGGGAGGCCTGCTTCTCCCTCTCCCTCTCCACCTGCTTGTGTTCCCTCTCTTGCTGTGTCTCTTTCTGTCAAATAAATAAATAAAATATTAAAAATAAATAACCACAAATTGGTATCCCTTATGAAACCTAGAAAATTGAACAGTAATTCCTTTTTATCATTAATTATCTAGGTAGTATTTATATTACATTAAATTTTTGTTTGTTTGGAGTCAGTCCAGTATATTGTTATTGCTTGATGAGTCTTCCTTTTTCTTTTTTTTTTTTTTTGTCTTATTTTTCATTTCATAAACAGTTTACCATTCTCACTGTTTTTTTTCTGTAACTTCCCACAGTCTGGATTTTGCTGCATTCTTTTTTTTTTTTTTTAAGTTTTTATTTTAATCACCCGGTGCTCATCACAAATGCACTCCTTAATCCCTGTCACCTATTTCATCCATCCCCCCACCCGTCCACCTCCCCTGTGGTAACCATCAGTTCTCTGTAGTTAAGAGTCTGTTTCTTGGTTTGTGTCTCTCTCTTTTTTCTCACTTTGCTCATTTGTTTTGTTTCTTAAATTCCCCATATGAGTGAAATCATTGGTATTTGTCTTTCTCTGACTGACTTATTGCACTTAGCATTATACTCTGTAGCTCTATCCATGCAGTTGCAAATAGCAAGATTCCATTCTTTTTTATGGCTGAATAATATTCCTCTGTGTGTGTGTGTGTGTGTGTGTGTGTGTGTGTGTGTACCACATCTTCTTTATCTGTTCATCAAGTGGACTTTGGGCTACTTCCATAATTTGGCTGTTGTAAATAATGCTGCTATAAATATAGGGTTGCATGTATGACTTTGAATTAGTGTTTTTATGTTCTTTGAGTAAATACCTAGTGGTGCAATTGCTGGGTCATAGGATAGTTCTATTTTTAACTTTTTGAGGAACCTCTATACTGTTTTCCAGAGTGGCTGCACCAGTTTGCATTCCCATCAATAGTACAAGAGGGTTTCCTTTCTCCACATTCTCTTCAACACTTCTTTTTGATTTTAACCATTCTGATAGGTGTGAGGTGATATCACACTGTAGTTTTGATTTACATTTCCCTGATAGGTGATGATGAGCATCTTTTCATGTATGTGTTGACCATTTGGATGTCTTCTTTGGAGAAATGTCTGTTCATATCTTTGCCCATTTTTAAGTTGGATTATTTATTTTTGGGGTGTTGAGGTTTAGTTTTAGATTTTTTTTTTAAGATTTCTATATATTTTAGAGAGTGCACATGTGAGTGGGGTGAGGGGCGGAGGGGGGAGGGAGAGGGACAAGCAGACTCCCCGCTGAGCACAGAGCCTGATGCAGGGTTGAACCCCATGACCCTGAGACCATGACCCAAGCTGAAATCAAGAGTTGGATGCCCAACCAACTGAGCCACCCAGGCACCCCTAAGGTTTTATTTTTAAGTAATCTCCGTAACCAGTGTAGGGCACAAACTCACAACCCCAGGATTAAGAGTAGCGTGCTCCATTGAATGAGCCAGCCAGTTGCCCCATGGGTGTTGAATTTTTGTTAAGTACTTTATATATTTTGGTTACAAACCCTTTATCAGATACGTCATTTGCAAGTATCTTCTTCCATTCCAGAGATTGCCTTTTAGTTTTGTTGATTGTTTACTTTGCTATACAGAGTAGTCCCAATAGTTTTTGCTTTTGTTTCTCTTGCCTCAGGACATATATCTAGAAAGATGTTACAGTTGATATCAGAGAAACTACTGCCTGTGTTCTCTTCTAGGATTTTTATGGTTTCAGGTCTCACATTTGGGTCTTTAATCCATTTTGAGTTTATTTTTGTGTGTATGGTGGAAGAAAGTGGGCCAGTTTCATTCTTTTGCATGTAGCTGTCCAGTTTTCCCAGCACCTTTTGTTGAAGATTCTTTTTCCCATTGCATATTCTTTCCTGCTTTGTCGAAGATTAATTGACCATATAAGTTGTGGCTTTATTTTCGGTTTTCTGTTTTGTGCCAGTACTATACTGTTTTGATTACTACTGCTTTGTGATATAACTTGAAGTTCATAATTGTGATGCCTCTAGCTTTGCTTTTCAAGATTGCTTTGGCTATTTTGGGCTTTTTTGTGGTTCCATACAAATTTTAGGATTGTCTGTTCTAGTTCTTTGAAAAATGCTGTTGGTATTTTGATAGAGACTGTATTAAATGTGTAGATTACTTCGGGTAGTATAGACATTTTAACAATATTTGTTATTCCAGTCCATGGGCACAGCATCTTTCCATTTCTTTGTGTCCTCTTCACTTTCTTTCATCAGTGTTTTATAGTTTTTAGAATACTGGTCTTTCACCTCTTTGGGTAGGTTTATTCCTAGATATCTCATTATTTTTGGTCTAGTTGTAAATGGGATTATGTTCCTAATTTCTCTTTCTGCTGCTTCATTGGTGCATAGAAATGTAACATTTCTGTGCAATGATTTTGTTATCTGCAACTTTACTGAACTCATTTATCAGTTCTAGCTGTTTTTTGGTGGCGTCTTTTTGGGTTTTCTCTATATGATATCATGTCATCTGTAAATAGTGAAAGTTTTACTTCTTCCTTGCCAATTTGGATGCATTTTATTTCTTTTTGTTGTCTCATTGCTGTGGCTAGGACTTCCAATACTGTGTTGAATAAAAGTGGTGGGAGTGGCCATCCTAGTTTTGTTCCTGACCATAGGGGAAAAGCTTTTTCCCCATTGAGGATGATGTTAGCTGTGGATTTTGTGTATATGTGGCCTTTATTATGTTGAGATCTGTTCTCTCTAGACCTACTTTGTTGAGGGTTTTTGTCATGAATGGATGTTGTACTTTGTCATATCCATTTTTTCTGTCTATTGAAATGATCATGTGATTCTTATCCTTTCTCTGTATTGATGTGGCATATTACGTTGATTGATACATAAATATTGAGCCACCCATGGAACCTGTGAATAAATCCCATTTGATTGTGGCAAATGATTGCTTTTTATTTTTAATTTTTTTAACTAAACTCTACCCCCTATGTGGAGTTTGAACTCGACCCTGAGATCAAGAGTCACATGCTCTCCTAGCTGAG